TTTCTTCTTTCGCACGTGTTCGGAATTCATGTCGGGCTGATCCGGAACGATCAAAATTTGAACTCACTGATTGGCTAGGAGTTTGTATTACTGGCACAAATAAGTAAAGCCTCCGCGGGTGACCCGGGCAAGACCACCCGGGTCAAACACTAGTTATTGGTAGCGTAGTCTAACTGGTGGGGGAAATTAGGGCCCTCTAAATTACACTGAAAATTTTTTGGCCTCAAACCTTGCTTATATTTTAGGTTCAACCTCGAATGCTACAATCCTAGTAATAAAATCGATCACCTTACTTTACTTAGAAACTTAAAGGTAATTAATTGATAATCCGGCTAAGCCGATAATTTGCTTTTAGCCGATTTTTTCACTATTGGCCAAGATCGCTATTCTAAATGTGGTTTATACAATAAAAAATACGGTACTAGTACACATTATTCGAGTGTCATATGACCCGAACTTTGGGGTGATTCCATGATCGTTTCGATTTTCATGATCCGCTGATCTTGCACTTGGTCGATCAGGGCGATGAATTACGAGAATTTTTTTTTCTTTTTTTGAATCGATAAATAAGAGTAAATTCGTATTATTTTATAGGTCTTATCCGGAACGGCAAAGTATTTTTTTTTTACAAAAATTCCGGGAATTGCATTTTTGGATATCTTTTAGATGATTTGCACATATCGATAACGCTGGCGGGTGTTTACAAATTCTGGTTGGAATTATATAAAAAAAAAAGGAATGATCTACATGTCATTTTTTAATTGAATTTAAAAATTATTGTTATATGAAGTTCAAAAGTTCAATATTTCTACCATTACTACAATCTCATGAGACGTGCTAAAATATTTGCGGGTTCTTCTCACCCTGAACTTGCGAACAGCATATGTGAAAGGCTAAGTCTGCCTGCTTCCCCAGTTGTACTAAAGAAATTTAGTAACAAAGAAACCTCCGTTGAGATTGGTAAGTGCAGTTACGTTGCTTGTGAACTTGTACAACTTAAGGGAGTTCTTTTATTTCACTAATATGTATATTTCAATTTTTACATATCTAATATCCTCTCTTAATTGTGATCAACTCAGGTTGTTCTGTTCGTAACGAAGATGTTTTCATTATTCAGTCAGGTTCAACTCAAATCAATGATCACCTAATGGAACTATTGATCATGATATCTGCTTGTAAAGGCGCTTCTGCAAGTAGAATTACTGGTAACATGTCTGCCTTGACGCAAAAAGCGCAAAGCAGCTTATAATATGAAAGTTCAGATAAATGAACGTTTGCTGATTTACTCGCTTTCTTAGCTGTTATGCCATATTTCCCTTATTCAAAACAGAGCAAAAAAAAGAAGTATCGTTGTGCTATAACTGCAAAAGGTATCATTTCTATAAAATGATGTTATAATGTTTCACTTATCAAATTTATGTAATTGATCATGATATTATTAAAATGCTTTTAAAGTAGTGGCAAATTTACTTTCTGTTGCTGGTGTGGATCATATCATCACTATGGATCTTCACGCGTACCAAATGCAAGGTTTCTTTAACAAACCAGTTGATAATCTTTTTGCTGAACCTAGTATTGCTAAATGGATTCAAGACACAGTTCCTGAATATACTAATGGTGTTGTTGTTAGTAAAAATGCTGGTGGTGCAAAAAGGTTTGGAATAACATTTATTCAATAAATTTGTAATGTTATAAATTAATAAAAAAAAAAATATTTATCTCATCGGCAGAGTAACATCACTTGCCGATCGTCTTAAAATAGATTTTGCACTTATCCATACTGATCGCACACGTGAATCTCGCCGAAAGAATAATAGCGATTCTGGCATGTCATGTATTACAAAAGTCGGAGTAAAGGATGACGAGACGGTGGAGGATGATGAGATTGATGAAGCCACCACAGAACTTTCGATTAATGATTCTAACTCTATCACTTCAACAACCAATGGAGATGAAATCGGTATCATTACTCTTGTAGGCGAAGTTGCGGGGAAAGTTGCCTTTATAGTGGTGAGTTGTCATATTTTGCTATTATACTTTGTTTCTGAAAATCAATCAGATCAAATTAAAAAAACATCCCAATTCTAGGATGATATGATTGATAATGCAGGATCGTTTATAGCTGCTGCCGATCACTTGATAAATAAATGTAACGCTAAACGTGTTTACGTGATCGCTACTCACGGAATTTTAAGCGGTGATAGTTTAAGAGAAATTGAAAGATGTAAGAGTATATATAAGGTATAAAAACTTCATTCTTTAATAAATATCATTTCTTTTTTAATTGTTTCTATTCATATTTATTCATAAACTGTCTTTCATCGTTTTTAAACAGGTGGTAGTCACAAATAGTTTTCCAATTCCGCCTGAAAAGCGCCGCCAGATTTCCAAACTTGTAATTATCGATATTTCAGCGACATTAGCAGAAGCCATTAGAAGAACTCATAATGGTGAAAGTATTAGTTACTTATTCTATACAGCAATATAAAATGCAAAAATTATGAATATCAGAACATCACATTTTTCTTAGTGGAAGTCTTTTTCCAATTTAAAAATTTAGTATATCATCTATAAAGAGTAATTGATATAATTCTGAAATTAAACATGACCGTATTAAAAAGGCATGGTCATTAATGCGGATATCAAAAAATTTTGCTCTTTATTGATTTATTTATTTGTTTTAAACCAATATGTTACATATCTATTTATAGTGGATTATCTAATTATCTTTTTTTAAAAAAAATAAAAAGCTATAGTGCACAACACTTAAATATCCTATTTTGAGATTGTTAGTAGCTGCTAACATAGTAAAGCCAAAATTTTACTACATATATATATCGGTGTTTTAGTCTTAATTGTTTAGGCCAAATTAAAAATTTTAAGCTATTAGCGGTTTTAGAAAAACTGAAAATTTATGTTACGTATAGGGATTGGAACCGCCTAAAATTTTCTTAATCGTTTAATCGTTTAACCGTTTAACTTGGCCGGCATTAAGATAATTCCGGACACGACCAACATAATTCTGCCCGGAATTATGGAGCAATTTTTAAACGGTTAAACGGTTCCAATCCCTAATTACGTATAGATTGGAGTTAGACAATAATGCATATATAGTAAAATTTCTTAAGGAATTTTTTTAATTAGTACCAGGTTTCTTAGGTTGATGGTGGGAGGAATTAGGGGTGTCACGATTTAGGTAGCGTTCCCACAAAAAATTGTTTATCCCCGGCAATTTTGACTAATCAAAATTTAATATCAGGTGTTTTCTAATTAAAAGTTACATGTAAAATGAAAACCAAGAAAACCGTGTTATAATTGGATTAGGATTGGAACAATATAGTGCTTATTAGTAAAATCATCACAAGGAACATTAACGAAAATCGCTTGATGTCCAGGTCACACCGCGAGGAGGTTTGCATCATGTGACCCAAAGGAGTCTAAAATCGGGATTTGAAAAAAAAACTAAATCTTTAAAGAAAGGGGTTAGGAAACATCGATTTTAATTGTTTATTCGAATATTTTTTTATAAATTCATTTTTCCCGATCTTTTTAAAGATCTCGAAATGATAAAATACGATATCGATGATGTACCAAGTCAATCGATAAAGTTGCGAGTCAATCCCGCTAATGTAAATGACCCTCAGGGTATACAAGAAAACCTAGATATATTTATACTATTGCCCCTCCCTCCCACACGCAATAGTCGTCGCGCATTTTACGAGTTTTTCGAAGGTCGTTGGTCTTAGATCAAGACCAACAGAAAAATAATTACGTAAAGGATACAGTTCTTTATCCACCTTTTTGCTGAATATCTTCATACCCGATACTGTAACAATAAGATAAAGTAGTAAATATCTAAACGTGAAATAAATCAAAATACAGATATAAACAGAAATAGCGAGATAAAATACATTAAGCGAGTAATCTCCGTAATACAACGACGCGAGTGAACGAGAAGTGAGAAGTTGAAAGTGCGACTACACAGGACGGCTGATCAGCAATTCACCCGGTCAGACCGGAATCACCGAAACAACCTAACTTCTCCGAACCTATGTAGGGGTGAATAGTACGACGAATAAAAAGCAACGGGCGGAAAGAAGAAAAAAAATATTGAGTGTGAAAAAAATTGGTACGTACAGTACGTATATATGATATAATACAGTAATATCATTATGATGTCAATCATGCGTACCATTACCGAAAGCGGGCAATTTCACGTGATCACGGCCAATCAAATTATAGAATTTTGATGATCGTCGGCGAAGAACAAAAATGAAAACCTACCTCGGTTAAGTAAAATGTAACCTAAACTTAATACGTATGAGTTGCCTCCGCTTTAGACGTCCCCGTTAAATCATCTAATCTAAAAATAGCGATAGGTACACAATGAAATCTCGATTTTTTAAAGTTATAAAAATGTATATCAGGGTTAGGATTAGGATTATGATACGTAGCAAATTTTTTTTTGTCAGTGCGCAGAAGACAGTTTCATAGACGAAATTTTTAGTTAAAAAATCGTTACTTATTGCTAGTTATGCCAACTTATGCATGCGCCAAATTACAAATTATGCGAATTATGCAATTTTAAATTCAAACTATGCTTATAATTATATTACAAATTATGTACGTACGTACATACGTAAAATATGCGGGTTTTCTAATTATTTTTTATTCATCAATTTTATTAAAATATATGTAGCATGTTATATATGAGTGCATGAGAGTGAAAACCTGAAAGTGAATTATTATGGCGAATTTGACCCCTGAGGACAATCAGTGTTC